AAGCAGATTTATGTAAGCACATCATTGATTTCTGATGATGTTTTGAGTTTTATTTATTCAAAATACTTTTTTGTAATAAACTGCCATTAGGCTATATTTAATTATTTGCATGTTCTCGTGTACGGTTTAAAAGCTTGGGGTCAGTAAGATTATTATTTATGAAAAAAAATACTTTTATTCAAAAGGGATGCACTAAATTGATCAAAAGTGATAGTAAATACATACTATGTTATGAAAACAATGCAAACTTTAGACATGATTAGACCTGACAAAGGAAAAATGCACAAAGAATAATAAACCTTAAACAATAGCTTTATGCACATTACAGCATTTTAATCTTAGTGAGAACTGCCTCATGGAGTCGACGTGGGAGTCGGATGAATAATTGACTGTAATGTGGAGGGAGTAAAAGAGAGGCAATACGAGGGGTGTGTTGCTGCGCTTTTTCAATGTTTTCATGTGTTGATTCTTAGGAGTCTGTGTGCCAGTAGTAGAGTACACATACACTGCCTTGTATGGGCAGACTGCATGATGAGAGTGTTTCTGTCTTATTTTTTTTTTTAACCTCTCTGGTGAAGTCTGTTTTGGTAATCCATCTCTCATCCTATCGCAATTATTTTCCTGTTATCGTCAGGTTAAAGTTGCAGATTATAAATTTCATGTAAAACTACAAATTATAGCCAGTCGATTAGAATAAGGGCATGTTTGATAGACGTAGGCCTGCTACTGGCTCTTATTACAAGAATGCAGGATGTGGCCAACTACAGCTGCATGGAAATAGCTGCATGTCTGTCTGTGACAAGCTGGTTATGGCTCGGCCCTGAGGAACTGGAGGCCCTGTGCAGGAATTTGGGTTTGCAAGACCTCTTTATTTGTTCCTTTTAGCTTTATCAGTATCTCTCATGCAGAAGTTCTCTGGAAACTGAACCTAGAATGTGGCATTTGCTTAGTGCCGGTGTATGTTGCTAGCTGTCATCTGCAGATGTTTCTGAAGTGCTTAGTGGGAAGCCGTCACAACACAGTCAATCAAGCTACTACAGTAAGTGAAACATGACAGACACACTTTAAGGACGTCCCTGTGTGGAAAGCAGCTTTATAAAGGTTTTATTTTAGATTTGATAAGTCCCGAGGTTTAATATAGGGTTTAGGATTAGGAAAGCACACGCGTGTTTTAAAATGTCCTCATGGCACCTTTATAATCCTCTGTCTATACATGTAAATTCCCTAATCCAAACAAATGGTGGATTAAGATATTGGACAAGATGGGGATGAGGTTGTGGAGAGGCAGAAGGGGGTTCCTACTTTCATTGAATTCCTGATATTTCTAGGTTATTTTAAAATTGTGTTAAAGTCATGGAAATTTTAATAGTGAATATTAGGGCTGCACGATAAATCGAAATGGAATCGATATCGCGATTCGACCCTAGTGAATATACATTTTTATAGTTATGCTCATGCTGTACGATATCATAAGATACTGCTTGCTCGAAAGCCATGGTAATTTCTTATTTGTAAGCAAATTGTTTCGAGTCAGTTCTTTTTGATAAATTGGATGAATCTGTTCACACAGTCTGAAATTCAGTAGCAGCAATGTTGAACTGGAAAGGCCATGTTATCTGCACTCTTTAAAAATAAAGGCTCTTTATTGGCATTTGTGGTTCCATAAAGAATCTTTAACATTCATGGAACTTTTCCAGTCCACAAAAGGTCATTGATAGTAGAATAAGGTTATTCAGTTTACTAAAATGTTCTTCATACTAAAAATAAATAGTTATTTTATGGCATCACTGCAAAACCCCTCTTTAGGAACCTGTTTTTAACAGCTTTGGTTTGGATGATAAAGCAGGTTTTTTCATGAGCACCTGAATGTTCTCATAAGTGCTTTTAGATTTGCTGAAAGAAGCCTGTTTAGTTATTTGAAGTGTAGTGAGTGAAATGGAGATGTGACGTAATCTCCAGTGCTTTTTGATTAAGCTGTTTGCATTAGCAGGCTTTACCCTTTTCCGCTGTCTTTGTGAACACTCACAACAGCTTCATCCAGTCAAATGAGGACACGCACACAATAACCCACCCTACCACTTCATACACACAATCATTATAGCACATCTTATTCTTTCTTACCCTCCCCTTATTTTGTTAGTTTGTCCTTATACTTATCTCTTATGCGTACCAGGGTTATAGTTGATTGAAACTACAAATGAAAGTTTTTTTTTTTTTTTCTTTCTTAAAAGAAAATACGTTAACTGAAAAATTATTTTTTTTTTAATTTCAGCTAGTTGCAAAGGCAACATTTCTCTTTTTTTTTTTAGTTTAACTTGATATATTAAAATTAAAACTGAAGTAAAAATGAATAAACACTATATAGACATATAAAACACGTAATAAAAATGACAACAAAATTACTAAAACTTGAAAACTGAAAATATAAGAATAAAATTGTATCCAAAATGCACACTTTGCTCGTGTTTGACCTACTGGAAAAAGAGAGTGGCTAATGAAGTGATATTTATGGTAAACAGTCTGAACTGTGAATATAACATGGCTGAACTCATAATTGTACATTCAACTTATTTTCTTGTTTTCTAAGGATCTGTGCTGTGAATTTTTTTTTTTTTTTTTACTGAAACTTTGTGTCTTCTGATTAAGTTGGGTCCTTTTTTTCAAAGTCCCCTTTTTGATCTTCACATCACCATGGAGACACAGCAGCAGGGCTGCTGGGTAATTTTTGTCCTGTCATGGGCAGAACGATGACCTCCCAATTCATCATCTTGGCCTGTAGGGTGACAAGTTTTCTAGAACGCGTGTCATGCATTCTCTTTGTTTTCTGTCTCCTGAGGAACATTTCTAGGGGGCTTTCGTCATTTTTATTCACAGTTTGGTTGTTTGTTTTCCTCTTCTTGATTCTGTCACATACTTGAGTCCACTCATCTTCTGGATGGTGCTACATTAAAATTAGATTTCTCTGCTTGCCTTGTCATTGTTACTTCATCCCATGATTTTCCCCTTTCTCTGTCTTTATTTGCTCTCTGGTTTGGTGGCTTGGGTTTATTGGAGAGCCAGAACAATAGCTCAGCTGCTAGGGCCATCTGTGTGGCTACAGACAGGGAACGGATCTGATGGAGGGGAAGGAGAGTAGAAGAAAGAGGGGGTTTGTGGCCAAGGAGAACTGTTTAAGGGGGGAAGAGAAAGACAAGAGGATTCTGAATAAAAGAGTTTGGAAAAAGGATGGGGTGAATGGGTTCATGGCCCCCCTCTCCACTACATTGACTCTTTATCCTCCTTTCTTCAAATCCCATGCCACAATCTTTTTGCTGACGAGCTTTTGCGTCAGTCCCTGAAGGAAGAAAATGGCTTGCGTAGAGCAGTGCTCCAGTGAAATGGGTATATTGACTTTCTTTTAGAATTCTGCCAGATTTTGATTTGGCTATATTTATGAGTCAAAGTTGTGGATTTGAATTTTGAAGATGTATACTGGGACGTTATATACCGTGGTAATGATGCCATCTCAGTTTACACTTGACAGACAGGAAATTACTAGTTTGTATGAACAGGTATGCGAAGTCCAGATAATGGCATCCTATTTCTGTAGAGCAGGTGGTGGTGCCTGTTCTGTGTAAATGATCCACATAAATTAATCAAATCCATAAATCATCTTAAAGGGATAGTTCACCCAAAAATGAAAATTTGATGTTTATCTGCTTACCCCCAGGGCATCCAAGATGTAGGTGACTTTGTTTCTTCAGTAGAACACATATGATGATTTTTAACTCCATCCGTTGCAGTCTATCAGTCGTATAATGCATGGCAATGGTAACAAAATCTATGAGAGTAAAAAAAACATGCACAGACAAATCCAACACACCCATTAACGTAAACTACGCCAGAGCGCGTACACACCACGCACCGGATGCCGTGCGCGCGCCCAAAAAGACAGTTGGACATAGTGGTGTATTAGAGGTAAAAAATGATATAAATACTGTTCGGTTTCTGGCACAAACCGATCGTTTCGTGTCTTAGGACATCAATGTGTCGTCACGAGCCGCAGGGTTTAATTTGGATTTGTCTGTGCATGTTTTTTTTACTCTCATAGATTTTGTTACCATTGCCATGCATTATACGACTGATAGACTGCAACGGCTGGAGTTAAAAATCATCATATGTGTTCTACTGAAGAAACAAAGTCACCTACATCTTGGATGCCCTGGGGGTAAGCAGATAAACATCAAATTTTCATTTTTGGGTGAACTATCCCTTTAACATTTAGATTTTTATGCAGCCTAGTGTTCAATTCAGACTAATGTCTTGGAGACCCACTCAAAATACTTAAAGAAACACTTTTCCGCATCACTATCAAACTGTTACAGTGTAAAAATGTAAGTAATTTTTACAGAACAGAAAAACTAAAAATGCCACAGTAAAAACTGTTAATTGTAAAGTTACCTAGCTATATCACATAATGAAATAAAATGTTATGAGTCGTAAAATATACAGGTACCAGTATTCCATTCTGTAATACCTGAAACAGTCACTGTATTTTTAGTTTTTTTTTTTGTTTGTTTTCATAAATTTAACAGGACAATTTATACAGTGTAGTCCATTCCAGATGCAAACAAATGAAAGATGACAAGGACTTGTTATGTAGGATGTTCGACCTGGACTTGATCTTTTTGTATTTTGGTTCTTTCATAATGTATAATTTCCTGTATTTTTCCAAGGTGCCCTTCATAGGAATGGTTCCCTTTAAAAAATGTTGCTTCCTCTTGCAGGAGAATGTTTTACTTCTAAACTCTTTCAGTTCCATGGTTACTTAAAATTCTTCAAATCTATTACACACAGCAAAAGCATTTCTCTGCCAAACTGATTGTATTTATGTGTTTGTACGAGAAGCAACTTTTGCACTCAGGTGCGTAGAGCCAAAAAAGTCACTGCAAATAGCATTTAATTGTCTAAAGTGTGTTTTTAAAAAAAATTTTATTTATTATAATTTTTTTTTTTTACAGGGCAGTTATTGAGTTGGCGAACGCATCCATCATCCCTGGGTTCAGTGTGTGTGAGCAACACTGAATCCAGCGAGCATATCAAGCAGCAACTGATTTTCGGGTAATATTGGCGATGAAACCTGATGGGGTGGCCACAGCACCATCTGAACCAATGGAAGCCGAAGAAACAGAAGCCATAACAGAACCAACCAGCAACGACGGGGCGTCTCAAAATGGGACTACACCTTCACCCCCACAATCTGATGAACCCCAAAATGAGCAAGCAGCTCCTCCAACTGTTAAAGAAGCTTCTGGGAAAGCAGTAGATGCTAAAAGCAAATCCAAAGGCCCAGTCAAAGGCAAGATTGCTGCAGGTCCAACTACCACTGGACCAGGCACGCGACCCAAAGCAACCCAAAGTCGTGTGGCTAATGGCCTCACAAAGACTGCATTGAGTGCCCCAACCAAGAAACCCATTCCAGCTAGCACTGCGGCAGCAGACAAGAAGAAACCCACCACTACCGTTGGATTTTCAGGTCCAAGTAAGAAACCCGTTGGCTTTTCTACTGTCGTTGCAACCTCAAGGGCCCAACCTAAAGCAACAACTGCTGGAACAAACAAATCAACAACAACCACCACAGCCAGTGGAACAAAGACCAGTCTGAGTAAGAGACCTGCCACTAGTGCTGCAACCAAACCCAAAACCACAGGTAAGATGGCCTGGCATGTATGGGTTTACTAGGTCAATTACAGAGTTTAGTTCTGGTACTTCTAAGATTGGATTTGGACATTTACTAATTAGGGGTGTAACGGCACACAAACATGACGGTTTGGTACATACCTGGTTGTACCAAAGACACTGATGACTTGCCTGAGGTAAATAAAATGATAGGTGACATTTTGTTTACAAGCCGTTTTAATGATGTCTTTCCACAGTTGAAACACTAATTGAGCGATTACGTGAGGGATGAAATGTTCATTCATGTATATTTCACATTAAAAATAGTAATAAAGAGGAAGGGGTGATTACGCTCGCTCGCGCTCCACGTTGCCATTAGAACTGAGGCGTCGCGCCACATCAAAGAGAGTCAAGACGCCATTTATTGTCTGAATTTCCTGAAAAAAGGAATGATTTGTTCTGTGCACATGCGTACCGAACCGAATACGTGTACTGTTACACCCCTAGTACTAATAAATAACATAACATTAGAAAATGTTCCATTATTCTCATGTGGCAGAGACAACACAAACCTGTTGTGGTGCAGCAAGTCATTATGTAAAATAGAAATTAAATTTTTTTAAATTATAGTTCTTTTCATTGTTATATTTTACCACTATTTTCTTGAGCAATCCCAGTCAGTTTTAACTTTGGAACATGATTTATTTCAATTTCATTTTCTCAGCTCCTGCTCCAAGGCCAGCTGCTGCCCCTGCTGCCAAACCCAGAACTTCAGCCACAGCCAAAACCACTGCAGCTCCCAAAACTAACAGGTAAAGCAGCTTTTGGAGATTTGAGCTTGGACATTTGACTGTATTTGAATGGAAAATTGAAATGCTGGGAAGTGCATGATTGCACAACTCTTGATGTGGCTTTAAGGTATCAAGGCAGATTTCCTGCATAGATCTGGATGAAGTAACATCTGAGAAGTGCTTTGTGTTCTGCACACCATTTAGTGGATATGCCATACAAATATCAATGACTGCATGCTTTTTTGCAGTGAATGGTCTCTGGTTTGTCTGGTGGTTATTGGCTCAAGTTTCTGTCGCTTTGTGAGCCAGACTCCCTGAAAGACTGCTTAGATTAGGCTTTACCAGAGTATAGGCTCAACAGTGCTCTTTTTGTTGATGCTACTCTCTGGGAGTGATAATTGGTATCTTCACTTGAGTTAAATGGATTTTATGATCCAAGTTAGCTGCATTACCAATTATGTCTTCAGTCTCTTGTTCGTTCCTTTCATATATCTCCCTTTATATCTATATTTAGTCATGTGATTCTGATAATGATTAGGATTGATCAGTTTTATTTCTTTCCCATCCCCTTACAAATGTGACTTCCTTTCCCAGCTCATTAATAATACTATTTAATCTTTATGAAAATTTTTTTTTTTACATTTGGTAAAATGCTATAGAAAGTTTAGAAATATTATAAGATACTTAACATTTTTAAATGAGTTATTGAATTTTCTTAATATTGCTCAGATCTAAAATCTTATCAATTAGAAATATCACTTTGTGAGTGTGGCTTCTAATATATTTATTATTTAAAGAAAATGGAAATTATATTAAAAAAAATATCTAGTAATCACAAACGACTGGAAGTCATTGGCCAAAAAGTGTGGGAAACTTGTTTTGCAGAGTTAAACAGTTGTTTGTTGCAGATGATTACATATTCAAGCTCATCAATTGTAAGTATTGTAAATGCAGTCAGCCAGTTAATGTGGATATGACTGGTCTTATGTGATGATTACGGTTTAATTATGCACTTAATTCTATGTATTTATGTGGTAATGTCAGTTTACAAGGCTGTTTAGACTCCCTTTTGTTGGACGTGTGGTGTTTTAGACAAACAGGACTACAGGGTGTGGTTTGTGTGCACACTGTGTTTCTGCACTGACTCTGAATTCAGTCTGGAATGAAATGTCTAACTCCGAGAATAGAGCAATGGGTAGTGAATAGTGGTTATGAATTTGAGCACTCATTTGATCTGTCTGTTTAGATGGGTTTAACTTTTGTTTTCATTATTTGCATGCCACACAATATATATTCTCACTGCAGCTTCAAATGAAATGTTTGCACTGCAGAAACACAATCGCACTCCTACTGTGGGAAATGTAAACTAGCTCCATCCAAGTCTCCTCATGAAACAATCACAGCATCTCCCCCTCCTCTCATCTTCTCTTTCACTCTTACTTTGTTCTTTCTGGTATATGTATATGTGCTGGCTAGATATTTTTGGCATTCCTAGAAGAAGACTTTTTGCCAGTTTGTGGGTAACGTTGTGAGGTAAAAGAGGGTTACTTGATGGGGTTCTTTGTTTGCAACTCTTGCTAAACCAGCCATCTCACTCACTCAGTTTGTAGTTTCATGGGACTTGGATAAGTGCCGTGCTTACCAAATCAAATTTCCCTTGTATTTGGAGTTTTTTGTCTGTTTCAAAGTGAGCCTCTTGAATTTTTGAATTCAAGTCATCGACCATTTTAATTTCCCTTGAACCAAGCTGCTTGTTAGTCTTTCACCATTTGTTTTCCTTTGCTATGAAATTACTGGTAAACCAGATGGCTTCTGTTACATTATACCACATGACAAATATTTAAAAATGAATGAGCTTATAAATTTTGAAATGGTGCTAATGAGGTCGAAAATAAAAGGACCACACACACTTAAATATCTAGAATGAATGAAGCAGTTAAGTTTTAAAACGATGTTTAACTGGAATATAAGGGAAATTCACTGCCTGAGGCTCTGCTGAGTGACACACATTTAATCTGGAACAGTACCTTCATTCTAATGGCCATTACTTAATTAAAACTTAATTATTGATATGCAAATGTCTGTGCCAGTGGGTGTTGTGTTCTTTCCATTTGTGTTAAAAGGGAGATTGCTCCTGTAGGAATGTCTTTGACCTCTTTTATATTGTCATCTTAAACTTTTCAACCCATTATTTTATTGTTTAGGAGCTGGTAAAATAGATAAATAATGGTCAACAATCTTATTATCTGTTAGTCTTGTCTTTATCACAATCATAGCCATGGCAGGTCATAGAATTGTAATGGGAGATTCCAGTTCTTTTGTTCTCATTCTTTAACAATTGGCCGTTGTTTCGGAATAATCTGTGGGGGAGATGTTATAGTCTTGGTATTTGGGGCCAAGCCGTTTGACCATGTTCTTCATTGTGCACTACTATGAGAAGTTTGCTCATTGCCTGTATTCTCTGTACTAAGAGCTGGAGTATGTGCCATGGTTACTGGCATTGAATTGTGCATTCCAACATCTTTTGAAGTTTTGCTGGCTCTGATTCTTCCTTACAAAGGTCTTTTATGATGTTTTTGATCATAAAGACTAAAGCCTAAAGTAGGGGTCGACCGATATGTGTTTTTCAAGGCTGATGCCGATACCGATTATTACAGATCAAGTAGACCGATAACCGATATTTTGAACCGATATATATGTCTGGTGTAAAAATTTTAATTAATGTCTGCGGGGATGATTTTTGGTGTGCTGACAAATAATGCTACCTATCAGATTATGCTGCCAACAAATCGTCAGAACACCGGCAGAACAACAACAATGTGCTACATGTTTCTTTTCCCCTCATTTTTTCCAATTGACGGAAATCCGTCGTAGCGACGGAAAACTTTCATCCCGGAGTAGTATTATGTACATCATACTGCACCACAGTAATATATTTCTGATAATTCATTAAGCTAACCCGGACTTCTATTTTGACGTGTTGCCATGAGGAACTTGTTTCTGTAGGTCTGGGCGGAGACTGCTTTAGGCCACAGAGTGGTGAGTTCTGACAGGCTGCATCAGAGCCAAATAGCGCATTTCAAAATTAAGTTATTTTATCTGCGAATCGGTTTTGAAAATTACCGATACCGATAATCATAAAAATGCTTAATATCGGCGTCGATAAACGGCCAGGCCGATAATCGGTCGACCCCTAGCCTAAAGTATAGTTCAGCCATCCGCATTCCACGACAGTGCACGCACAGTCCACATGAGACCGTTTCTGTCATCAGAAGTGTCTGCGGATGTTTGCACACACCATCCGCTTGCAACCCAGTTTTTGTGTCCATGCGGATTGTCCATGTACAACATTGCAGGTGCGAGGTGAATGTTGAGAATGAGTCCACTAGGTGGTACTGCACATGTGTCAATCTCGTCCATCCGTGCTCATCCACGGTTGAGTATACTTTTGGCGCTTTTCCACTGCATTGTACGGTACGGTTCACTTTTGGGGGGGTTTCAACTGTGGACAGTACCTGGTACTTTTTTCAGTACCTCCTCGGTTGAGGTTCCAAGCGAACCGTACGGTTACCAAAATGTGATGTGTAAACCCTGCTGATCACTGATTGGCCAGAGAGAATCGCCACTACCTGCGTCATTGAACTTGCGACACAAGACACAACAGACCTGCTAGATAAAGGGGTTAAAGGGGTCATATGATGTTGTTAAAAAGAACATTTATTTTGTGTATTTGGTGTAATGAAATGTTTATGCGGTTTAAGGTTAAAAAAACTTTTTCCATTTTCCACATACTGTACATTATTGTTTCTCCTCTATGCCCCGCCTTTCTGAAACGCGTCGATTTTTACAAAGCTCATCGGTCTGAAAAGCAAGGTGTGCTCTGATTGGCCAACTATCCAGGGCGTTGTGATTGGCCGGATACCTCAAGCGTGTGACGGAAATATTACGCCCTTTACCATGCTGTGATGCTGTGTCCTGGCACGACGAGACAAAACCAATAAAACCCATTACAAACGAGGCATTTGTTGCATCCAGTGGGGACATAATTACTGATTATAATGACTTATACTGTCTTTTTACGCGTTGCGTTGCATTGCG